ATGCTCCAGACATCCTTGCTTTGCAAAAAACCCCTATATCATTAGGGGAGGAAATAGAACACTTTTTCCAAGCTTGCAGATATTGATTACCTATTCCTTCCATCAAAGCACAATTGCCATTCTGCACTGTATAAATCTCTTCAGCGTTAGACACTTTATAAAGTACTGAGAATTATATCATTAATCATTTGCAGTTACACCTGTCTTGCTTTATTGAATTCTTTGTTTTTTAGAACTTTAAATAAATGCTTTTAAATAAAAACATGACACTAAATAAAGACTCTGTTTCACTTAAACAGTAAAAAAAAAAAAAAAAAAAAAAAATCCCCTAATTCTGTGTGTGACATTTACCCATCTGAATCACAGGAACTTATGAGTTATTTGTATTTCATTTTTCAACAGTAAGCATGGTGGTTTTAACCAAATAAAAATTTGAATGAATTTGAGTTGGCCTTTTAAGTCTGATAAATAATTCGGTTTCCAAAAGCCCAGCAAGGTAAGAGCCCTCACCTGTGCTAATAAATAATACACATTTCCACTGAAATAGTGGGGCAACCTGCAAGCAAAGGCAAACATCAGACAGCCGCAGTCCAGGAAACACCAAGTCCTGGAGCTGGAGTATTTGACGCAGGAGCAGCACAGAAAGAGAATAAGAACTGATAACATTTGGTATTTTCAGGTATTGAAGTCAGTGTCCTGCCTCCAGGAAACCACAGGCTTGGGTCCAACAACGAAGTGCCCACACTGGGGAAGGAGGGATGTATTCACCCCCCAGCTCACGGCAGTAAGAGGAGATGGTGACTGCAGAACTCCCGAGTGATGGGACAGGGCTGGGGGCTGAGGAAAGCAGTAAGGAAAGGGAATTCAGCCTCAGTGATCCCCTCTGAGCATTGCAGAGGAGACCACTCTCTCTCCCAATCCTGCAGGGTGTTTTTTCACCCTTCCCACTCTGCAAAGCCAGACGGACACTTGCTCTGCTCCTGCCTTGGGCTGGTCCATGGACAGAGCACCCCTCCCCACAGCCCCAGTGACTGCAGCCCTGCTGACCCTGCCCTGTGTGTGCTCAGGGCTCAGAGGGCTGCAGGGCCCATCCATCTCCCAAGTCTGGACACTCCACCAGCACCCTTTGGGTTGCAGCCAGGTGTCTGAGGTGACCTTACACCTTGGCTCCAATCAGGGACAAAAGGGCCACTGGTTTCCAAGGCGTGAAAGCAGAGCTGGGGTCAGGGACCTCGGCAACACCACCATGTTTGACATACAAAGCTTCAACCAACACTTAAGGCCAGAGATATTATCACTCATCCTTGTCTGAAATTACCTGATGCTTCCTAGATTCTTTTCTCATGCAAAATCTGTCAATTACTGCAGCACCTTTAATAGTTTTTTAATACACTGGCTGCTCTTTAAATAGAATCTGAGATTACTTTTTTCCTTCTTTTTACTGTACAAAGCAATGAGCAGCCTTCATTAATGAAAAACCATTAAAATAATGTATTCTGACAAAATCTAATTAAAGCGTGTATAAAAACTTCCACTTATAAAAATATTATTTTTCTCCCACAATCTTTTGTGTAAAACATCTGTTATTAAAAATACTGGCATTTCCTTGGTTTTACATAATTTTCT